GTGTTTTGCAGTGCTATTAGAAGATAATTTAGCTTTCTTAATTATAGTCCCCGTGGACGGGGGAGCATTTGGTAATTCATTAATTAATTTAGCTGAATCCCGTTTACCTTCCGCCCGCAAAGCCTGTTCTGCGGCTGATAGCAATTGATCCTCATCTATCGTCGACAACAATTCTTGGCTTTTCTTTTTTTGTGTTTTAGGACAACACTCAGAATAGGCTTTTTGTGCCCTCCCTCTTGTACTTGAGGTGGAAGCAATGACATCAATGCGATAGTCTTCGCCATTTAATGTGACCTGAAGCCAACTTGCATTATGAGCGAAAAACCTGGCCTTGTCTCTCCTAGATTTCTCAAATCTGTTTTGAAACTCAAAAGACAGTTTACTCATGTGTAATTTCAATTTGGAGTGATCAATGTCATTGCCAAACACCATCACTGCGTGCTTTACAAGAGCGTCTCGCTGAGCGGTTTTTATGTTTTTCGACCAAACCTCGAAAAATGCAGCACGGCTTATTTCACTCATTTCTAAATAGAAGGTCTTTGGGCAAAATATGGGCAAGATTTTATTTTAGATTCTGAATCAGAATGAATGCATGCGAATGATGTATGTTCTGGTTGGATAGAATACGATAGAATAATATAAGTTTTTTTTCCACCAAAAAACAGAAATATGAAAAAATACACTTACTTTTTGGCACTTTTTTCAAAAAATGAGAAAAAAATTTTTTGGTCCCAAAAAAATTTGTTTGTTTTTAAAAGTGGATTAAGAATTGTCTAAAGTTTCTGGGAAAAATAACTTTTGGCTGCTCCCACTGATCACGCGATGCAATTGATAAGACTAAACTTTGTCAACTGTTGCTCGCTTCCCAGTGCAATTTTGCATGCATTTCTAAAGTCCAGCTTTAAAAACCGTTATCTCCCAAAAAAAAATTAATTGTTTTGTTTTGTGCCTGTTTTCGTAATAGTTGAACTATTCTAAAAGTGCTGCTAAAAGCTCATCGACCTCAAAAATAGTTCAACTTTTGCTAAAAGTTCCGCTAGATTGGCAAAATCTTACACTGTGCAACGCCCACAGAAGAACAGAAAACCAGCTACATTTTGCAGGTGAAGGCTGCTTATCTTGCTGCTAAAAAGCTGCGTCACTATCTGTTGGGTATCGAATTCGTACTAGTCACTGACTGCGCAGCATTTAAGCAAACGACTCAAAAAAAGGACATACCAAGGGAGGTTTCAACATGGCTTATGTATCTCCAAGATTTTACTTTTACAGTTGAGCATCGTGCCGGCGTTAGAATGAGACACGTCGATAGCTTAAAGGGTTATATACAGTTGTGATAGATGAAAAAATCGATTTTTATACCCTTGTAGAGGGTATTATAATTTCAGTCATATGTTTGCAACGCAGTGAAGGAGACGTTTCCGACCACATAAAGTATATATATTCTTGATCAGCACCAATAGCCGAGTCTATCTAGCCATGTCCGTCTGTCCGTTTCTATGCGAACTAGTCTCTCAGTTTTAAAGCTATCGCGATGAAACTTTCCCGAAAGTCTTCTTTCTTTTGCAGGTAGAACATATGTCGAAGCGAGCCGGATCGGACCGCTAAATCTTAGGGCTTCCATAGGAATATTCAAAAAAATATATGAAAATTCATTGTAACTTTGTAGGAAGTAGGCGTTTTAATTCTTGACTACTTAAAAACAAAATTTAAATAGAAACGCTGAATCTGGAATCCCTGGAACTGCACCGAGTGAGCATTACTTTATCTGCAAGGGTATATAAGCTTCGGCTGGCCGAAGGTAGCTTCCTTTCTTGTTTTTTATTGCATATTCTTTAAGTATATACTGTTGAGAATACTCTCAAAAAAATTCAAAACGATCGGAGCTTTAGAACCGAAGTTGTACCTATTTATAGCGCACTACCTGCACATCGGCCCTTACAAACTTGAAACTTTAAACGCGATTATCTCAGAATCTCGTTTTTTCGAAATTACCTTTGCGGTGGACACGATTACTAAAAAAAACTATTAATCTGATCGACACAAAATTTTGACCACTTATTTATTATAACAATAGCTAGTCCTTGAACTAGGGATTTTCAATTTTTTTGAAAACTTCTTTTTTTAGAGCATAAAATCCATAATTTTATATCTTGAAATAGTAAATTTTTTGTTAAAACCGTCGCCATTTTTTTCTTAATCAAAATATTTACAAATCCTTCGTTCAGGGACTAGGCAATACAATATACTAACGAATTTTTTTTGAATTGGGGATTTGAGATGAACCGTTCTTGGGATATGATGTCCACCGCAAGTCACCATCGAAAAAAGACGATTTTGGAATTTGGCCATAACATTTTTATTATTTAATATTTTTTTATGAACAAATTTTAATAAGTACCCAGAAACATGTACTAAATAACGCCGGCAAAACATTTTTAATAAGTATTTTTTTGGTGTCAAAAAAAATCGGTAAAATTTCATTTTTTTGTGCGGTACAACTGTATATAACCTCTTAAGCCGCTACCCTATCATGATAGTTTCAGCTGAGATCCACGTTCAATTACAGCGAGCTCAGCAAAAAGATGATAACCTCGCAGCAGTAGTACAGATTTTGAAAACAAAACCGTTCGGAGACTACAAAATCAAAAGCAATCTGATCTACAAACATGTTGACGGTCAGGACTTACTTGCTGTTCCTAAAGTAATGGAACAAGAAATTATGAAAAAAGCACACAATTTCGGTCATTTTGAGGTGCAGAAAAACATGCGAGCAATCCGCCAGGACTATTATATATCGCATCTGGAGGCAAAACTTAAAAATATAATAGCAAATTGCATCGAATGCAATACCCATAACAGGAAGCTAGGCAAGCAGGAGGACTTTCTTCACGCGATTGACAAAGGAGATGTACCTCTTTCTACATTACACGTCGCTACAAATATATCTTCGCAGTAGTGGTCGCGTTTTCAAAATATACCTGGCTTTACCCAACAAAATCAACTGACGTCGACGAGGTGATCAAAAACAAGGACACTTGGCTCACAATTTTCGGAAGTCCAAATCGCATCATTAGCGATAAAGGATCAGCATTCACATCGAACCGTTTTATGGAATTTTGCGTCAACGGGAACATTGAACACGTTGAAACAACAACAGGCGTGCCTAGGGGAAATGGCGAAATAGAGCGCGTCAACCGTGTAATAATCGCTGTGCTGGAAAAGGTTTCAGTAGCTGAACCGTCCACCTGGTACAAGTTTGTATTTCAAGTTCAAAAGATAATTAATTCTCATGTTCATGCGTCTACCAAATGTACACCCTTCGAAGTCCCTATTGGTGTGAAGATGAAAAACGAAGCTGATAGTATTAGATATGTGCGAGCTATATATCTAATTACATTTATTGTAATATAATGTTGATGAATAGTGTGTACAATAGGGCGGTCCACATTTGTATGGAAATTTTTAAGGTCCTACTCTCACCCGCTTATACGGTGCGCATTGCGGTATTCAAGGTATACCAAAAGAGAATTTTCAAAAAAATCGTGTTTTAGGGTCTGCGAATTGTTTTCAAAGTTTATCACCCATACGCACTGTTGCCTTCGATCAAAAAGTTTTTCTGATCAAGGTGGCATAGATATCAACAATTCAGTTGATGTTCTGCTCTCCTTTTTTTTACCAACTATTCCAACGAAATTCATAATTTGACAAGACAAGAAATGGGAGAACGATTTTTTTCGACCAAATTCGAACTGTTTTACATGTCGTATGAGTAATTTTAAAGCAAACTTTGAAGACGTTTCGCAAAGTCTAAATCTCAAAAAAAATTTTTTGTTTTCACATACATTTTTTGCATACTTTAATATACCATGTTAAGGGGTGAGAAAAGAATTTCATTTTTTGGACCGCCCTAGTGTACAAGGAATGAATGTGATTTGCGAGATCGATGTTGTTCTCCGTTGACTGCTGATGTGTGACTGACGAATGCAGTGTGTATATTAGGGTGGGTCGATTTGGGACCCCAAAAATCGTATAGGGGGAATGTAATCTTTAAAGGATTCTAAGCCATATTGGCGAACATACTTATGGTCTAAAATGACGTTTGACCCCCTAAACTCCCCCCCAAACGCGAATGAAACATACTGTTTTTTTGAGAAAAATATCATAGCAGTCAGCACAGATATATTACTGAATATCAATGTCAAATTTTTATTTAAAATTTAGTAATACATCTGAGCTGACTACTATGATATTTTCCTCAAAAAAAGCTGTATTTTTCATTCGCGTTGGGGGGGGGGGTTCAAGCCAATATGGCTTAGAATCCTTTAAAGATTACGTTCCCCCTATACGATTCATCACTTTTTTCGGCCCCATACAAATCGACCCGCCCTAGTGTATATGCTTGTGTAAAATTGTGTCGCCACTCTATGACGACTTGATCGGTGTAGATCCAGTGAATTCAAGGCCAGAGCAGATGGCGGTGGTGCTTCGCATAGGTCAGTGGTAACCATTGGTACTGGATCTTCTTGTAATTCAACGATATTAGGGTTCACGATAATCGGTTCGGCATCGTCATCCGATGAACTCGCAACTAGTGATTCTGCTTCGCCCTCCATTGAAGAAGCTGGTTCGCGACTTCGCAACTGGTCGAGATGTCTCCTGATCACTCTTGCGTCGTTTAAACGGACATTATATGAAATTGGTCCCGTTTGGGCAGTTATCCAACCTTCCACCCACTTGGGTCCAGTCGCGTAATTACGGGCCCACACTGTACTGCCTGTAATGAAAGGTTTAATAGGTGCCGGATTTTCGACCTTACCAAACGACATCTCTTGAGGTTGAAGCTTATCGAAAATTGTTTTCAATTCTCGGTTAAACATTAATTCAGATGGCGAACGATTAGTAATTGCATGTGGCGTCGTGTGTTGGCTAAAAAGGAATCTTGATAGGTTGAGGTCGATATTTGTATTGCTGCTCATTTTCTTGAGATAGTTCTTTGTATTTTAAACCATTCTCTCGGCCTGTCCATTTGTGGCCGGGTGAAAAGGCGCAGACTTTATGTGACGAATGAGGTTGTTCTCCGTAAAGAGCTTGAATTCTTCGGAAGTAAATGCAGTTCCATTATCCGATACCAGCTCGTCTGGTAGACCATGGGTGGCGAACAACTGGCGTAGAAATTTAATTGCGGCCGCGGCTGACGTTGAGCTTACAACGGCGACTTCCAACCACTTTAAATAAGAGTCGACCACCAAGCAGTAGATTTTACCCTGGAACGGTCCAGCAAAATCGATGTGGATACGAGACCAAGGGTACTTGGCAGACTCCCATCGGTGTGTTGCAGTCGAAGGTTTCTCGTTGCGCCCTTGTTGGCAAACCTTGCATTGCTTTACCATGGACTCGACCTCTGCATCTATGTTCGCCACCACACGTAGCTGCGGGCTATGGCTTTCATCTTCACAATCATAGGATGAGGCGCATGCAGTGCCATCAGAATAGGATCTCGGGCTGCTTGAGGAATTACAGCTCGATTTCCCCAAACCAATACGCCTCTGTTGGCGGATAGCTCCTCACGGCGTGAATAGTATGGAAATAGCTCATTTGACCTCTCTATTTTGGTGCCAGGCCATCCCCTTAACACCCAGTTGAAAATTTTCGACAGTACTGCATCTTTAGAATTAAGGAGTGCTAGGCGTTGAGCACTCACAGCTGGGACACCAGCCAGTTCAATCATCAGGTTTAACTTCTTCGGATGATGAAATTGGGCAAAGGCTAAGAAAATCTGCGTTGCTAAGCTTTGATCCAGCACGATGGCCTTGTGTGGTAGAAATGCATGGTAGAAATTGACCAGTCCGATAAATCCTTGTAATCCTTTTTTATCTTTCGGTATTGGTGCGTTTTGAATCGCCTCGACTTTAGAAATTGACGGTCGAATCCCCAAGGCATCGATCTTGAAACCCAAAAACTCCACAGTTGGTACGCCGAATTCGCATTTGTCTTTTCGGAGGCGCAGTCCAGCATGATCCAAACGAGATAGTACCTGGTTTAGACGTGATGCCAGTTCCTCTTCTGATTTCGCTATAATGATGATGTCGTCGAAGTACGGCAGCACTCCAGGAATATTTTGCAGAATACTTTCAATTAGACTTTGAAAAATTCCCGGTGCTGATGAGATTCCGAACTAAAGTCGTGTGACCTTAAATGCTCCTTTATGAGTGGATATTGTTTGGAGTAACGCTGAATCATCATCAACTACGAGTTGTTGGTAGGCTTGTGCGAGGTCAATTTTTGCAAATATCGATCCACCTTCGATCGAAGCTAGTAATTGGTTAGTAGCTGGGATCTGGTGACAGTGTGGCTGAATAGCTTTATTTACAGTTGATTTGCAGTCTCCGCAGATTCGAATTGACCCGTCTTTTTTTATGACGGGAACTGTTGGCGTTGCCCATTTCGAATATTGTACTGGTTGTAGAATGCCTTGACTGCATAGACGATAAATTTCTTCTTCGTAAAGATTTTTAATGGCGAAAGGAATTCTTCGTGGGGGAAGTCTTTTGGGCGGAACAGTAGTGTCTATGCGTAGGGACACAGGCGGTCCTGTATAACAACCCAGTTCGTTTGAAAATAGATGTTCGAATTTGTCTAACACAACCTTGATCACATCAGTATAGCTGTTAAAGGTATGGATACCCTCTAAACGAATTCCCATAGGTTCAAACCAGTTACAGCCAACTATATTTGCCCCGCCGCCAGATGTAATTATTAATGGCAGATTATCTATTTTCCGATTGTGGTAATGGATTGATACATCTATGACTCCTTTTACTGGAATTGAGTTTTTTTGGTAATCACTCAAAGGCCGTTCGGCCAAGCTGAGTTAAAGACGGGTTCTTTCATGATAGTAACTGGTGATCCTGAGTCGACCTCGAACGAACAAGTTTTCCCATTAATAATAATGTGGACTAATTTCTTCTGATTAAACAAAGGTAGTATTTGTTGAACTGTTGCTTCTCCGGGAACTGATTTCCACTGATATGAACTGCGTAAGGCTGTAGCTGACCCTGATGAGAATGTATTTGAAGTCGAATTTTGCGTCTTACGACAGACGCGTTGAATGTGCCCTTTGATCCCGCAAGAATTGCAAACAGTTTCACGATATGGACACTGTTTTTGATGGTGCTGCCCTCCGCACCCGATGCAAGATCCTTTGACGCTGGCAGAATTATGCTGGGATGTCCGCACTTGATTTGCAGTGCAGTCATGAATGTCAATGGTACTTTGGAAATCACTGTGTTGTGAATGATTGGACTGCCGTATAGCCAAAGCGCTGTTTGAGGCGGCTTCACTGGTAATAGCACGCTCTAAAACCTTTTGAACGGTAAGATCAGCTTCAGCTATGAAACTTTTTAGCAAGGACGCATCCCTCATTCCGCACACAAATCGATCGCGTAGCATGCGATCCAAGGATGAGCCAAAATTACAGTCCAACGCCAGGTGTCAGGTGTCAGTGCTGCCATGTAGTTGTTGACTGGCTCGTCCACATGTTGGTCACGTTTATGAAAATGGAAAAATGAGGCAATCTCCGACGGGCGTGGAGACAAATGATCAGTCAACAATTTAAAATGTACTGACCTTCGTTGGAGATGCCAATGATGTCAAGAGTTCGAAGAGTGGCGCACCGGCTAGTGTGAGAAAAACGGCTTTTTTCCGTCCTTCCTCTTTGACATCATTGTCCACTAAGTATATGTCGAAACGCTCTTTATACGAAGTCCATTTGTGTGGATCATCCAAATCATACGGCTCCAAACTGCCCACCGTTGACATAATTTTAATTTTTTCACTCGATTTTGTAGTTTTGCCCGTGTCTGCTGGAGCAGCAGCGCTCTACATACAGCTCTTGATCGCACTCCGACCCTATAAACTATATATATTCTTGATCAGGATCACTAGCCGAGTCGATCTAGCCATGTCCGTCTGTCTGTCCGTCTGTCTGTCTGTCTGTCTGTCTGTCTGTCTGTCTGTCTGTCTGTCCGTATGAACGCTGAGATCTCGGAAGCTATGAAAGCTAGAAGATTGACATTTTGCATGCAGATTGTGTACAAGGAATGAATGTGATTTGCGAGATCGATGTTGTACTCCGTTGACTGCTGACGTGTGACTGACGAATGCAGTGTGTATATGCTGGCATATACAACAGATAGCAACAAAATCAAACTTCTGAAAGACGAGTTGCTATCGGTTTTTCAAGATGAGAGAAACCAGAGTTGAGGTTAGGAATCAAATCAAGAAGTCCCAAGAAACCTATAAACAACATTATGATAAAAAGCAAAATCCTGTGTCTGTCAATCAGTTGTCGGACCTAGTCGCTATTAAAGTCACCCAATTTGTAGCTGGCAAAAAGCTTCCAAATAAGTTCATTGGTCCTTATGAAGTAACAGGAGTCAAACGAAACGGCAAGTACAACGTTAAGAAAGTTTCTGATTTTGCAGGTCCACAAGAAACTTCAACCAGCGTCGAAAACATGAAGCTTTGGCGATATTTTGAGCAAACCGACGACGATGACGTGGACGAAGAATCATCTGAGGCAGATGATATGCAGGAGAAGGCGATATATAACAAATGCTACTTCTGGCAGCCCCATTAAGAGTAGCAGATTGGCAGCCCAAGAGTCGAAGTAGGGGAAGTCCCTGAAATCTGAGGCAGTTGCGAGAGAGTTGCGAGAGAAGATGATCGAGTCTGCTGCGATAAAGTTGATAAGTTGTAAAGTCGCTAAAGTGTCGGGATTTAACTAAATATTTGTGAAACTCTTTGTACTTCTTATAATCTAAATATTACCTTATTACACATTTACTTAATCAAAAGTTACCAAGATTGATAGATGTTTAATCAATCTTACATACATGTGCATCAGTTGGAGCTGAAACACAATACAACTGTTTCTTTTGTAAGAAATTGATTTAAATGTAATAAAAAACACAATACCTTGTTGCATTTGGAAACAAAACTGGAACTCTCGGATAGTATCACGGCCGAATTTGCAAGTGGAAAGCAATCCAGTTATATTCTTCTGGCGAATGACCGAGTAATTCTTCAAGGATTTAATGGACAAAAGGCTGAATTCAGAGCCCTGCTTGACTCTGGATCCCAAGTTAATGCCATTTCCGAAAGAGCAATTAAAACGCTCTCATTAAAAGCCACAAATTCGATGCTGAAAATAAATGGCATTGGTGGCAAATGTCAGACTTCTAATGCAAGGATCAACGTTCAGCTAAAGTCAAAACAAGGCGATTTTAGTTCACGGCTTGCAGCAATGGTTTTGCCTCACATAGTCGCTGATCAACCAACGTATACAATTTCGACTAATAATACCAAAAAATATAATGTTGGCCGACCCTCAATTTAGAAAGCCTGGAAAAATTGATATTCTTCTTGGAGCCGAGCATTACTTCAGTATAATGCAAGCCAAGTCCATAAGTTTAAGGAATAGACTCCCCAAGCTACAGAATACCAAACTTGGATGGATTGTAGCCGGGAATATTTCGGAGAGAGCACCTACATCATCAGTATGTGCTGTACTTACGGAAGGAGTAAAGGTTGATGAGTAACTCGCTAAATTCTGGGAATGGGATAATTTTCAAACAGAGTTAAAATGCTATTTACTAATGGAGAACCAGTGTGAAGATCACTTCCTTCAGAACGTTCAGAAGGCTCAGGACTCTAGACTAATTGTTAGGGTACCCTTTTTGGAGCATACTTCTGCGTTGGGGGAGAGTCGTGACATTACTGTTATGATTTCATTCTTAATAATTTGCCTTATTTGAATTTGAATATATCTATAATAATATCGATACTTCAAATGTGTTACACTGTTAATTTAGTATATTTGTAGGGATATCGATAATTGGTATCGCCAGAAACGAAAGACACGGACACACTATTTTTGTGAGGGGATTGTGTGGAAAATTGTGAAACGGAGCAGTAGCGTGGATAAAAGACAAAATTGAAACGCATTTGAATTAAATAAATTGTTTGAAAGTAAATTTGTGTGTTTAAATTTACGAAAGGTGACATCTTTCAATTTTGTACTTTAAAATCAAAGCGTTCTCGGTTTTATTACACGCTATTGCGAAATTGTTAAGTTTGGAGAATTTTATACATCCATATAGTGCTCTGCCGTCACAGCGCCATCGCCGCGTCGCTTTTGTACATACACTCTGCCGTTGTATGTATGAATATATGGATGTACGCATGATCTCAACGACTTGACGACGAATTTGATCTGAACTGCAATTTGGAGAATTTCATACATCCATATAGTGCCCTGCCGTCACAGCGCCATTGCCGCGTCGCTTTTGTACATACACTCTGCCGTTGTATGTGTGAATATATGGATGTACGCATGATCTCAGCCACTTGACTATGAATTTGATATGAACAAATTTGGAGAATTTCATACATCCATATAGTGCCCTGCCGTCATAGCGCCATTGCCGCGTCGCTTTTGTACATACACTCTGCTGTTGTATGTGTGAATATATGGATGTACGCATGATCTCAACGACTTGACGACGAATTTGATCTGAACTGGAATTTGGAGAATTTCATATATCCATATAGTGCCCTGCCGTCACAGCGCCATTGCCGCGTCGCTTTTGTACATACACTCTGCCGTTGTATGTGTGAATATATGGATGTACGCATGTTCTCAGCGACTTGACTACGAATTTGATCTAAACCAATTTGGAGAATTTCATACATCCATAAAGTGCCCTGCCGTCATAGCGCCATTGCCGCGTCGCTTTTGTACATACACTCTGCCGTTGTATATGTGAATATATGGATGTACGCATGATCTTAACGTCGTGATAAAACTTCCGTATTAGACAATAAACACATCCTATGTAAAAACTTGGTATATGTGTAAGCGTCACTTGCATACATACACAAAATATAATGGTGAAATTGACTAAGACTCGAAAGGTTCTGGGATATCACAGTGGTTGACCATAAGATAGCTGTGAGCCGAGGCACAGCTAGCCGCCAGGGCAAATAAATTACCTCCATCGGGTCACCTGTGTTGTATTCCGACTTTCGATATTAGTTAAGACACGTTTTATACATAAATGAACCAGTATAATTTACGAAGCAAAACAATGTCAGACGACGATGAAGATTTACTAAACAAGACGATTCTAGAGACTGCTAATAAAATGGACTCTGAAGCAGGTGAGACTCCAGGCCAGAGCAACGGCACCAATGCGGAAATTACTGCTTTGCTGGCGGCACTGCGAACAGATTTGATGAAAATAAAAGAAGGACAATCGGCAATTCTAGCAGATATAAAACAGGCTCACATGGGAATACAGCACAACCAAATGAAAATAAAGACTTTATCCGCACGACAACTAAAGCAGTTCGAAACACTTACACAGAACAACAAAGAAGAAGCAGACGATATCGATCCTGAAAGCACATCAGAACTAAACGGTTCAAATGAAAACTTAAATGCTAGACCTGTCGAACATAGCTATTCACACCGACCCAGCGTACATTTAGAGGATCTACCGTCCTTTTCTGGAATTACTGATGAGTGGCCACTATTTAAACAGAGTTTTGATGACTCCACGGAACTTTTTCAGTATGATAACAGACAAAACCTAATACGACTGCGTAAGTGTTTGACAGGGGAAGCTAAAGAGATAGTATCGTCAATGATGATTTATCCAAACAATGTCCCAGACATAATGGAGGAGTTGGAATTCAGGTTTGGAAGACCAGAACTACTAATAAAAACCCAACTGGCTAAGATAAAAGATTTTTCAAAGATATCTTTCGGTAAGATAGAACAAATCGTAACTTTTGCCACAAATGTCCGCGGAGTAGTCAATCATTTAACATCATCGAGTTGCAAGCAACACCTTTATAACCCAATTTTGTTAGAAGAATTAATAAATAAATTGCCTACAAATTTACAGGTAGAATGGTTACAGAGCGTCGAGATAACTAATGCCGAAGCGTCTATTGTGCAGTTCTCTAAATGGCTGTGCGCTACCGCTAAAATTATAGGCCGTCTACCCTCCGTTATCGATGCTACAAAGCCAATATTCATAGCCAAAACGCCAAATAGATCATCGAAATGTCTACTATGTCAATTGGAGCATCACCTAACTGAATGCAAAATCTGGAACGAAAACACGGATGTTCCAGGACGATGGGATATCGCCAAGGAAAATCGACTTTGCTTTGCTTGTCTTTCAAAGGGGCACAATGTACAAAGCTGTCAAAACCAACGAAAATGCAGGATTGAAGGTTGTAATCGTATTCATCATGAAAGTCTTCATTATGAGATGTCAAACAGAAACTCGTCCAACCCAGGGATGTCAGCAACCACTTCAGAAGATCCTCAACGAATGCTTTGCAGTATGGATACTCAGATAAGTACAACTAATTATCTGTTCAAAATCATTCCGGTTGTTTTATATGGGCCATTGGGAAAAATCGACTCTTTCGCCATGTTCGACGAAGGAAGTTCTGTAACCCTCATTGAACTTGAAATAGCTGACCAGCTTGGTCTGAAAGGTAGTGAGACTGCACTTACCCTACAATGGTACGACAATAAGAAAAGTACCGAAATGTCCAAAAAAGTACGTCTTGAGATTAGTGGCATGGATAAAGTTCAATATGATATGAAAGGAGTGCAGACGGTCAAAAATTTAGACCTACCCAATCAATCGTTTTCAAAAAATGAGTATAAACATTTACAACGTTTACCGATTGCAGACTACATGGACGGCAAACCGGTAATTTTAATCGGTCTAGATAAT